AACTCTGATCTGCTGCCGATGCTGCAGGCGCGCGGGCGCCTGCCGATGACGAGGCAGCGCCTGCGGGCCCCCTGTGCGCCCGAGGGGCCCTTAGCGGGGTACTGATGTCGAAATCCTGACGTTTCTTCTCGTTGGCGTTGTAAGACTCGCGCTTCTTGTCATTGGGAGCTGCACCTGATGCCTTCAATGCAGTTCCCAAGGGCCTCTTATCGGCACCACGCCGTGATGAGGAAGCATTCCTTGATGACCCCATCCAGCGTCGGCGCCCAGCCAGCCCTGTGTGTCCGGCCAGTTGTAGGGCCGCGACGTGGCGCAGGGCCCTTCGGAGTAGGGGTGCCGGCGCCATGAAATGCAGCTGCTGCGGCGGCCACTGCTGGTACCCTGGATCGACGTCGATCAGCAGGTTGCCCCGCAGGTCGTTGTTGCTTGCTATCTCCAGGATTGGGGTCATCTGGGCTTTTTATCTTCTGTTTAGGCGGTGGTCTGGGCTGGTCAGGTCCGAGCGACTTAGACTGACTCGACGAATCCGAGGGTGGAGAAATATCAATAGGTGGATCTGTCTTCGGCTTTGGGGGAGGTGCCTTCGGCGCTGCCCCTGCGGATCCACGGCCCATATCGCACGGGCCCTCTGCCGGAGTTAAGGTCCACACCATCAGGCTTTCTGAATGCCATATTTCCGATAGTAGCCTGTCCCTTCACGGTCAGGTCATATTTGTCAGAGCTAAGCCTTCTTGAAATTCTGATCATCACCCAACCTACAGATCCAGCGCGATAGACGACCCATCTCTGTGGGGAAAGATCCATGTCTTTCGCGACGATGCACCTAGGATCAACGGGGGTCACCGCATCGTAAGCGACGCCCGTAACAATGGAGAAGGCGTCGGAGTAATCCGGCCCGAGGCGAACCCTGCAGGAGCTTCTGCTGTGGGTCTACCGCTTCGGCCATATCTTCCGCTTCATCATATCCTTGCTGGTCGTCTTCTTCTGGTTTGGGCGAAGCAGGTTTCCCCGCATTATAATCGCGGTTGGATATCTTTAAATAAAGACCAGGTGGAAGATTCTTCCATATCTGAATATATTGAGATATTTCTTGGGTTGTAGCTTGTTAGTAGTCGCCTTCCGTCAACTGCTCGTTGCATGGTGTTTGTTTGGATCGGTGCAGTAACCCCTACCGTCGCCGTGGGACCAGACCCACGGTGTCTTGCGGAAGTTGGGGCTCCTTGATGGGCGTCTCCTGGGGCAGCCGAGCCTGTGGTCGGCATGCTCGAAGCGCGTGCAGACATCGCCTCTGCGAAGTTTCCGTTCCTCGGAGATGGCGCGCTCATTAAGGGCTTCCTGTGTTTTGACAGCCCCTGTCCTTTTTTAGCGAAAAACCTTGCCTGTTAAATTTCGATCCACCTTGCGAAGAGAATACCAGTGACGATTATTGTGCTCAGCCCAACCCTTGTCCAACCATTGTCGCATTCTACCTGGGTCGATGTCCTGACGAGCCAATCCAGCATCCGAGTAGCCAGCAAGGCGCTGGATTTCGTCTTCTGGCTATTCTTCGTGCGGTTCTCCCCCTGGAGGCGGGCGCCCCCGCAGACGCCCCCCCCTCGGGGGGGCGCCAGATCTATTGACCTTCCATGGGGGGGGGGGGGGGGTCCTCGGCCCCCTCGCATCAGGAAGATGAGGGCGCTGTAGGCCGCTAGAGCGAGCGCCGCTGGGGCGCGCGCGCACGGTCGGGCGAGCCACTGCGGGCCCGACCGCGACGTGCCAGACGTGCGTCGTCTTCCCATGGTTCGTCATCGTCGTCGGCGCGATACCTGCGTCTCCAGGACTGGCGGCTTGCCGATCGCTCCTGGCGGTTCATGGAGCGGTGCGAAGGTGCGAATGCATGTTGAAATCCTTCGCCGCGGCCGAGCGCACGCTGAATGCGCTCAGACAGATCGCTGACATCTCGCGGGCTTCCCCGGCAAAGGGTCATCATCACTCAATTCCACGTTTGTCGGGTTGCCAATGACCCGAGGATAAGGCATCAACTGTGTTTCCTCCTCTGCTGCAGGAATAGTGGCTTCTGAATCCGCGGGTGCCCCCGCCATTTCGTCATCTCCTTCGGCGGGCATGTGGAAGTTCTCGACAAATTCAAGATCAGCAGGTTGCCCCGCGATGGGTACGCCCAGCCAGTCTGCCAAATCGATCTCACTGTGGCCAGTGAAATACCTCCTCGAACAGCCCGTCGGCATCATTCTCGAGGGACATACTGGCACTCAAATATCTGGCAGCCATGAAATTAACAACTGCAACTGAGCTATCGGCAGGGTCTGCCAAAAGTGACTCCCAGTCAACACACTTCATGTCCAAGTCAGTTCGAGCCAGATGTATCGACGGACCTCTGCCTCCCCCATCGCCCTGAAGGCATTCGCGGGGAAAGTGCTGTGCCATGGCATATGTCACACTCCATAATTTTACTGTTGGCATCCTTCGGGTTTCCCCGACGTCCCGTACCTTTTCCTGATGTATGCCTACGGTTCCTGCCTGCGCCTCGGAATCTATATTCCTATTGTGGCCCGGTAAGGGATGCTAGGAATGCTGACATGCCTCTGCCATGCAATCGCCTCCGCTTACCTCTACCCTTACCTCGACCCTCGCCTTTTTCCTTTGAGTGCCCGTCGGGCGATGCGCCGTGCTTTACGAACTGGCTACTTCATGGATCGCTTCCACCTGCGTTTATGTTTCTGGTATCCCAAGATTAACCATGGCACCCTTTGTTCTTCCGTGAGGTACGTAGGCATATCGGGGTAGTCAAGGGCAGTAGCCTCGTCGTCCGAAGACGCGTCGGCGTCAGTACCGGAGTCGAAGTCGGACTCAGCAGGTTGCCCCCTCTGAGCCCATTAGGGCTGTGGCTTGCGTCGGGGCCAACGCGTCGGGCGGCCCCCGAAACCTGGCCCAGGAGTCTTGCGACCCCGAAGCCGAATCACCATTCTGAGCCAGTAGTGTAGTGGTCTCTGTTGGTTGCGGATCGTCATTCCAGACGTTATAAACAGGTTGCCCTGCTCTCGCCTCAACATGGAAGGTCTCGGTTCGGTGACCGTGACTGAAAATACCAATATTGCCAGGGGATCTCTCAGCAATGTGAGCATATGACCTCATGCGCTCAAGTAGAGAGTCAAACTGTTGCTGGTCCCTCGGCATGTGGTGGTTTAGTGGCTGTAGGACTTGCTGTGCACGCGATGTCCCCACTCCAAGGGCTCTGAATAAAATAACTGTTAGAATTTGGAAGTTGGGGATGTTAGAGCCTGCCGTTTCAGCTTCATCGCGGGCTATCCCGAAGCGTGCCAAAGTCTGGTCGACCCGTTCTCCCGCATGGATTCGGAAGCCAATGAGAGCTGTACCAGAGTTGAGTTGGCGTTCCTCTTCTAGTCTCTCGAACATCGTACTGAAGAGGAACATGATGTAGGTGACGCCATCAGTATGGCGGCCACCTATGTGAACGCCGAAATTGATAACTGCTGGGGGAACTCTCATGGCTATGGTCCGTGCGAGGCCCCCCAAGCCTCGCTGCGAAGCTGCCGCTTGTTGGGAGGGCGTCATATTGCCTGTTTTCACGTTGATCCAGGCATGCACGTCGCGGACGAATTCGCGGAAACGTACTTGACCGGACGGGTCCCAATGGGGGCCGGTCGTTCTTGTGTCGCCTCCGCCACGCATATGTCCTACCGCGCGCCCGATAGCGACCCATGTAAGCCCAAAGGTAAAAATACCCACCCAATGGCCTCTCAGGTCGTAGTCGGAAGTAGTTGGTTCGAGTTCGCGGCATGTGGTCGTAAGCCTGCGTGGGGGTGGAGGCGGCACAATGTCGTATCGCATGCTTCCAAGCATTATGTATTCGAACACGTTTCGAATTGGAGTAGGTGGGTGGATTTCAGGTTCGCCGTAGGCGAAGCCCAGCTCCCGCTCCGTTGTACCGTAGCAACGATAGTCGCAGTAGTGGGAAACGAGCCATCTCAAGCAGTTTTGGTATCAATGGCAAATAATACACCTCGCGCTGAGGTGTAGTCAGATGTGGGCGGCCGGCCGCTTTGAGCCAAGCAGCCGCGGATGCATGCTCGTTCCCACTCACATGCAACACGCAGCTCACTTTAGAGCAAGTGTGGGGCGCACTCGACCGAGCACGCGAAAAACCCAAACGGGCGGGTCGGGTCGGGCGGGCGGACCCTAGCGGCCGGGTCGGGTCGGGCAGTTTTGCCGATGGCAACTCGTTTCGCCGACGGCAGCTGGTTTCGCCGACGGCAGCTGGCTTCGCCGACAGAGCTGGTTTCGCTGGGCGGCGAAACCAGCCGGGCGAAACCAGCCGGGAGAAACCAGCCTGGCGAAACCAGCCGTCGGCGAAACCAGCGGTCGCCTCGCCGAATGCCCCAAGACCGCATGGAGGTGCCCCGAGCGAAGAGCACTCCAAGGTGGAGGGCCGGGCAGAAAAAACAGAAGAGCTCGAGCTAAAACTAGCGTTTCGCGTTTGCGTGTTGCTCTCGCTTCCTCCGATGTGTCTTCGTTCGGCCTTTGCTGCTGAACAAAATCAATCGAAGTGAAAACGGCCCACGAAATCGCCAACACAACGCTTCGCTCGAGCCCTGCACTCCAACAGTAGGGCTGTTCTCGACCCTCGTGCCACTAGCAGGGCCGTCTGAGTTTGCACGTGCGCGCGGGCACAACTGTTCGATGTCGCCACTGTTCGGAGGGGCTAGGGCGGGGAACGCGAGGGTGTTGGACCACTCCGCGGAGCCAGGTCTGGCCGAAGTCAGCGCGGTCCACCCTGCACATGTAAGCATTTTCGATGTGCCTGTCTTGGGCAACGCTCACTGGAGGGCGATAAATGGAGGGGGGGGGGGAGAAATGTGACCTCTTCGGGCCCTGCAGGCGCCCCTTGGGGCCCTAAAGGGCCCCTGCAGGGGCCCTGAAGGGAGGGCCCTTTTCCGCAGCCCTCGCTGCCCCCCCCCACGAACCGTCCCCCCCCTTGCCCGTGGCCCAGCGGTCCTTGCGGCCTCTCTTTCCGCGCGGCTGCGACGCCCGAGCTATCGGGCGCAGAGCCTCCAGGAGAGTGCTGCTGGGGATGGGGATGGGCCCAGTACGGCCCCTCTGGTGCACTGCGCTGGCCTGGGTCCAGCCCAGGGCAGGCGCAACCAGGGATGCAAGCGGATGGGTCGAACGAGGCGCCTCGGGTGCACCATGCACGCAAGCAGGAAGACCGCCAAGGGCGGCGCGCGGATGGGGGCGTGGTGAGGGGAGAGCCTTCTTCTACGAAGGTGGGGGCTTCTTTCGAGGAGTGATGAATGGCATCAACGTGAACTTCCGAAGGTCCGCGCTGATTTCTTGGATCGGCGCTGGACCCCTTGGGGGCTCCATCACCGATCCGAGAAATCACGACCTCTTGACAACTTTGCATGTTCATGTAAAGAATTGTTTGCCCGATGCCTGGCAGGAGCCGGAGGACTCCAAGAAGGCCTCTGGGTTAGGTCGGGCCTGTACCCCATACAGGGGATTTGGGACGAAAACTCAGAAATACCCCAAAACATACTCCAAAAAGATCAACACATACTCACAACATCGTCCCCCACTATTTGTTTTACCACCTTTGCACCTTCCCCCTGTAGAGGGACAGGCCCGATTTAACCTCTGTGATCGGCCTCTGAGAGGCCGCCCGTGGGGGGGGGGCTCCAAGAACAGGGAGCCCACAAAAAGGCGTACGCGCCCAACCATGTGCACGAACACGGCCCCTCGATCCGCGAGGCCGTCCGCGTGTTTCGCACATTCGCGCAAAGGCACACTCTCGAAACCCAACGTGGATTCACGTACGTGTACGTCCCTGTTTCGCTCCTGACAAGAAGGCCTCTGGGGGAGGGGGGAGCGGCCTCTGCGAGGCCGCCCGGGGGGAGGGCCCTCCGGACCCCAGAAGGGTGCGCCCCTCACCACGAGACCCTCCCCCTCTGCGCGCCGCCGGCGTACAGGGCAGGCGCGGTCGTGGATTCGGAATTCTATTGACAACAGGGGGCCACCTGCGAACCCTACCCCATATCCCCCACGACTCTGAGGGGGAGAGTGGGGCTCGCTTCGCTCGGGAGCTCCCGACCGACATGAACCCCACCCTCCCCCTCAGAAATCGTGGGAGGTAGGGGTAGGGTTCGCTTGTGGCCCCCTAGAAAAAGCACGGCTGGAGGTCGGCGGCGAGCCCACGGGGGAATGCAGAGGGAGGGCGGGCCCTGTCAGAGGGCTCGGAAGGCCTCGGGGCTTCGGAGGACTCTTCTGAGCCTCCTCCGAAGGCGCAGGCGGCTCCTGAGAAGGCCGGAGGGCTCCTGAGAACCGGGTCGGAGCAGCCCTGGCCCTGCAGGATCCTGCGAGATCCGGCGCTCTGACGGACCCCCTGTCACTGACCCCCGTCTTTTTGAGCCCCGACCTGCCCCCGCTCCCTGGGGGCGCGCCGCCGAGTTGAAAAAGCACGGCCGAAGGGCCCAGACCCCTAGCGGGCTGGGCGACCCCGGCAGTAGACTCAGGCAGCGCCCCGGGGGGTCGCCGCTGGCGGGCCGCCACCTCCTCGTAGACATGACACCCCCCGAGCCCCGCCAGACAGCGCGACGACCCGCCCGAGGTCGTCCAAAAGACTCCTCGATCCTCCGTCCTCGAACCTCAGAGCTGGCGACCCACCCCCGAGTGCTGAGCCTCCCCGACGCGCAGCGCGCAGCACGCAGCGTGCTGTCACGGAGCTCAACACGCAGACTGAAAGCGTAGATCTGGCGCGATGCGCTCCCCACATAACGAGGGCCAATACTTTGGGCCGACACGCAGAGCGTTGACACGGACGTCTCGAACACGGCACGCGTTGCGTTTCAACGCGGGCGTAGCAGGGCAGCTGCGCCCCAAATGTGACCCCCCCACCTCGGAATTGCCTGCTGGACCCAGACAGCCTCAGAGGTGCATGCTTCAGTTCGCGGCCCCAGGGCTCCCTCCTCCTCCTCCTCCTCCTCCTCCTCCTCCTCCTCCTCCCCATTATCCTTCTCCTTCTCCTCCTCCCTCCTCCTCCTCCTCCTCTCCCTCCCCCCTCCCTCCCTCCCTCCCTCCCTCCCTCCCTCCTCCCTCCCTCCCTCCCTCCCTCCCTCCCTCCCCCTCCCTCCTCCCTCCCTCCCTCCCTCCCTCCCTCCCCTCCTCTCCTCCTCCTCCTCCTCCTCCTCCTCTCCTCCTCCTCCTCCTCCTCCTCCTCCTCCCTCCTCCTCCTCCCATTCCTCCTCCCCATTATCCTCCTCCTCCTCCTCCTCCTCCTCCTCCTCCTCCTCCTCCTCCTCCTGCTCCCTCCTCCTCCGGCCCGCTCCCCAGGCGTAGCTTTGAGTCCTGGAGGGTCTTTGCTTGTCCTGGGTCTCGAACGCGACCCCGGGCGGCAGGGGGAAACCATGAGATCCGACGTCACGAGAGAAAATACGACGGCAGTGCGAAAACTGAACTGGAGCCCTGGCCCCCCTCGTTCGGCCGCATTTTTCTGACCAGCTCGATCCGTGCGGACCCAGGGCCCGACAAAGGGCAGCATTGCCCGATTGCGACGCTGGGATCTCAGGAATCGCCGCGGTTGAAAAAAAACAACCGTGGGGAGGTCTGGGGAAGAGCGGGGCCAGCTGCTTCTGGCGGGCCCAGCTGCCGATCTCGCTGGGAAAAGCTTCCTAGATACTCCAACTCCCGTATTAATCGACCCCCTCTTAAAAGACCGTCCCCCCTCCAAATGCGACTTAATATTCTGGACCCCCTTCTTCGACGGGGCGCCTTAATAAACGGGACCCCCTAAGCCCCAATCCAAGGGAAGCGCCCTAATAAACCGGACCCCCCTCCAGTTACAACAAAGGCGCCTTAATAAACCAGACCCAGGGGACGATGTAGAAGGGATTTGGAGTAGGGCCCGAGTAGTTGGGGTCGGCGGATCGCGCCGCATCGGCAGTGCATCGGCAACGCGGAGAAAATCGGGCCCCACATCGAGTCACATCTGCAATGCGTCAGCGGTGCGGCGCGATCCTCCGTTCCCATCTACGGTCAGGAACTAGTGCGTAGCGTGTCGCGGCGGCGGCCCTGGCGACACGCTACGCCCTGCGAGCGGATAGCGTGTCGCTCTGCTCCGCGGACCGGGAGGCTGGGAACAGCTCGGGACGTTGACGCTTGGGGGCCAGGAAGTGGATAGCATGTCGCGCCCCGAAGCGAGGTGGGCCAGAACTGGCGGAGCGACGCGCTATCCCAAAGTCCCCGACCGCACTCGGACTTGGAGGCAGCCAGGAGGTCTGCACTGCCAGATGATCGGTCTCCAGATCGGTCCACGCACCCTCAGGGGGTCCATCTGGTGCAGTTCGCCACTCCGGATCCGACTTTCACGGCCCCCGGGGGCCCGAGAACGGCCCCCTGAGGCCGACACACCAGCAAAACCCTGCCCGACCCCAGGACCTCGAAGCTGCCCGACCTTCCTGCTGGCCGGAGCCGGTGCTGGGGCACCGCAGGCCCCCCGACGGCAGCAGCTCCCATCCCACGCCGCCGCCCGAGGCCCAGATCTCCAGCCCGCCAGGGAGAGGGGCCCCGAGAGGCCCAGGGGCAGAGGCCGTCGGGGAGCGTCTTCGCGGAGCGCGACGGGCAGCGCCGCCACCGCTGTGCCGAGCGAGCGGCCCCGCCAGAGGCAGATCCGGGGGCCGAGAGCCGCTGGGGCGGAGCTGCTGTGACGGGAGGCAGAAGGACGCACTACTACACTGCTCGAATAGGAGATCGACGACGGAACCGATTTACCCCAACACTGACATGGTCGTCGAATACACGGGACACCTGCGCAAAGTATGCACATGTCCTCGCAGACTCGAAAAACAAACACAGCTTCTGGGGTACATTGAATTCGATTCTGCAGTCGGCGGCGAGCCTGGGGGGAAATGAGAAAGGGGCGGGCCTTCTCAGAAGGCTCGGAAGCCCCCCGGCCTACCGAGGAACTTTCGAGGCCTCCACCGACAGCACAGAAAGCCTCTCGGAAGGCCGGAGGGCTTCTGAGAGGTCCTGCCATCTTCTGGGAGGGCCTTCTCCTTCTCGCTTCCCCCAGTCGCTCGCCGCCGAATGACTTCTGCAGTCGACCTCCTACTCTCAAGTCGGGCCTGTCCCCCTACAGGGGGATTTTGGACGAAAATAAAAAATAGTCAAACAATGCCTTAAAATACTCAAAAATGGTCAAAAGATCGTCCCCAGACCATCTTTCGACTATTTTTGAATACTCCTCCTGTGGAGGGACAGGCCCGACTTAATCCTACTCGAGCTGTGCGTCCGGAGCCCATCGTGGAGTCCTATGTCCAGCTCGGGGGCACGAGCTCCGACGGGCGGCCAGGGCGGTGCGGCCAGGCAGCAGCGGCCGGCCGCGTGAGGGGAGGGCGGGCGTCGAGCGGGGCCAGTCGAGACAACAGCTGCCCTCCCTGGCTCAAGTAGCAGGGGATGTGTCGACCCCTATCTCAGGCTTTGGGCGGTCTTCGACTGCACCAAGAATTTTGGGGCCCAACCGCGGGATGTACGATGGAGGGGGGGCATCCGTCCTCGATAGGGGTGCGTCCGAATAGCCCCCTCGGGGTGTATCCCAAAGTTTCCCCCGTTTTCTGAGCGGCCAAAACGTTTCGGGCGCAGCTCGGGGATTGGGCAAGAACAGCTGCCTGCGATCAGGGGGACCAGGGAGACACAAACAAACAGGCACAAACCCCAGAATTCGCAATATTTGTTCAACAAACAGTGCTTGCACATAGGGGTTGTTACCTCTGCTCTGAGAAACTGGGCCGTGACTTCGGTCTGGCGGCTGTGTGGCCGCCGTCGTCGCCCCGTCGCCCGTCGCCGCCTCGTCGCCGCCCGTCGTCTGGGTCGTGTGCTCGGTCTAGCGGCTATGTGGCCGCCGTGGCCGCCCCGTCGCCGCCTCGTCGCCGCCTCGTCGTCTGGGCCCTGTCTTCGGGGTTTGGCGGCTATGCGGCCGCCGTGGCCGCCCCGTCGCGCCGCGTCGTCGCCGCCCTAGATTGCGCAATACAAGTTCTCTTGTCTCGGGAGCGGCCAAGAGGGGGGTGTCCAAGAGGGGGGGGCGCAAATCATGACCGGCGGCATGTGCACGGCCCAGCGGGGGGGCCAGGGACGTAATGAAATAAGCAGAGGCGCCATGAGATCTGGGGAAAGATCATGGCCCCCGCCATGATATCCCCCCCCCCTAGTCATCACCCCCCTCTTTTCCGCCCCCGATTGTCTAAACAACAAATGAATTTTCCCCCCCCTGGGATTATGACCTCCCTTTTTTCCTGTTGCAATTTACATACGACTCGTCCCCATCGCCCATCCTAAACATGAGTTTGCAATATCCCAGGGGGGGCGGTATCGCCCCCCTGCCATCCTCTGCCAAAACAAACTATGAGCGCGCATTCGTTTAACATGTTTTTGTATGTTCAAAAAATACAGCGAAACATGCGACGCAAAGCACACGCGCCACACGCGCGCGTCGTCGCGCGCGCGTGCCGAAATCACTTATAAACCTTCGGTGTCGTACGGAATTCAAAACCGAGTGTCCAAACGGCATATAAACACACACGCGGTTTCGCAACGCGGGGTTTCAAACAAATTTGCGCGCGGGTTTTTGCGAATTCGTAAGAAACCATTGGTTGCTCAACATTCCCCGTTGGTTTTTTCAACATTGTCAGAACATGTCACCACACGGGCTCCACGCGCGTGCATGTCGAAATCGTTCGAAGGCCCTTGCACGCGTGCCGTCTCGAAAACCCTCTGCAAACAAAATAATAATAATAATAAAAAACACGGGACGAAGAGCACGCGCGCGCGTCGTCGCGCGCGCATGCCGCAATACATCAGAAACTTTCGGTGTCGTAGCGATCTCAAAACCGAGTGTCCAAACAAACATACAAAACCACATGGTTTCGCAACATCAGTTTTCACAAAACGTGCGCTCGCGCTCTTGCGAACTCTGGGCAACCATAGTTGGTTCAACATGTTCATGGCATTCTGCCAAGCGGGCCTCTCGCGCCGCATGCCGACATCATTTGCACGCCCTTGCGCGCGTGCTGGGGGGGGGGCACGACCCTTGTCAAACGATACCATGCGGGCCACTCTCCCGCGTCGGCCGCGCGCGCATGTCGAATTCTGTCCAACCCCGTCATCACCGACGCGAGGACGTCGTCATTCGTCGTCGGCGTGATCAGCATCGGCGCCCACGCTGGCCGCGCCTTCGTCGTTGCCAACATCGTCACCAGCATCGCTACTATCACCATCGTGTCTACCGTTGTCGACGTTGCCATGATACCGCGTCCGCCCAATTCGCCGACTCGCAGTGAAGTGCCCGCTGGGATGTGCCCAGCGGTCAACGCCACCGCGGCCGCGTCGGTCGCGCCAAACTAGCTGGCCGCTGCGCGCGCGTGTTTGGGTTGGCGCGGCCGCAGAGATGCACCTGCCAACGCCAAGCATGCATCGCAATCGCCACCGCATGGGTTTTGCAAACCCAGTTGTGGGTGGGTGGGTGGGATGTTTGCAAGAGCCTGGGATGTGTCAATTCGTTTGTTAAAAGCAACTGCACCACATATATTGCACCGGATAGATAGCACAGTTCAGATTGCACCGCATAGTTTGCACCACATGGCCTGCACCACATAGATCGCAAAACATGTAGTGCACACCATATTGTAGTGGCCTCTGGCCAGTGCCGCCGATCCGGGGCGCTTCCGTTGCTGCCGGAAGCGCGCGATGGCGGTGATGACTGGCGACGACGGCGAGCGGTGAGGATGATGATGAGGAGTGGGAATGGAGGCAACGGGGTAGGATGAGGAGGAGGAGGATCATGATGAGGTGGAGGGGGGTGGGGGGGGAGGGGCAGGAGTAGCAGGATAGAAGGAGGAGCATGACGAGGATGAGGAGATTTTCGGCGGTTGTTGAAGATTTTCGGCGGTTGTTGGAAAGCGTCTTTGGGGCCAGGTGTTGGCCCTCTTTGGGTTGACACCTCGCCGATTTGGCGCACTCTCTGAAAAGCTTTGTGCTAGAGCTGTCTGCGTCACAGTTCTTTGTGGAGCCTTGTGCATCACCGGTCTCTGCTGGGAACCATGGTGTTTTCGGGGTCTCTGGGGCCTTCGCGCGGTCCTCTGCGGGCCCTCGTGAGATCATGGATGTGAGGAACACCGAAGACGGGAGAAGATGTGAAAACGTGGAATAACCTTTTGTATTACAACGTTTGTGTCCAGACGTAAGCGCTGTAAGTATTGGAGCCGGGTTGGGGCTTCTCGGGGGGAGTCTTGGAGGCAGCTTGGAGGCCTCCAGAAGGCGCATTGGATGCATTTTTTGAAACTCGTGGGGGCCTTTAGGGGGCTTCAGGGGGCCTCTTCGGACCCAGTTGGGAGCGTCTTGGGGCCTCTTCAGGCCTCTTGGGGGCCTCTGGGGGGCTTCCTGGGCCGTCTTCGGTATTTCTTCCGCCGTCTTGGCGCCTTCTCAGGCGCCTCTTGGGCCGGTCCTGGGGCCTTCTTGGGCCTTTCCGGGGGCCTCCTGGGCCATCTTGGGCCCTTCCTGGGCCGTCTTGGAGTCCTCTTGGCGGCTTCTTAGGCCGTTTTGGGACTCTTGGGGCGTCTGCGACGCTCTGAAGGCCCAATAGGCGAATATGCTAAAATCGTGCGCTTCCCCTAGGGAATGGGACACTTTTTGCTTTTCGGGCCTTCTTTGGGAAGCCTTTTCAGGGCTTCTGAAGGCATCTTGGAGTTCTTCTGGAGCCGTCTTGGGGACATCTTGGGCGTTATGTAGCGATCGTTCGGCGACTCGGGGCCCTCTTGGCCCATCGTGGGGCCCTCCTGGGCGAGGGGGCCGTCCCGAAGTGAGCTGGAGCTTCGATTCCGCCCCGGAAAATAAATCGACCCCCCCTACCCCAGCAGAGCCACCCCGGCACCCACCCCCCAGTAGAGCTGCAGCTCAGGAATTGAGGCTCAGGCTGTTCTGAAGGCCTTTGAAATTCACACGCCGGATCGGCGGATTTTGCACCACGTATATCACGCCACCTAGATTGCACCATGCAGGGCGCACAACATAGATTCCCCTAAAAAAAAAAATAGGCTCTACCACCCTCCCCCCCGGTTTAAGGACCCCTGGGAACCTATGCAAAACACATAGGATTCTGACCCAATGTCCATCCTACCGGTGAATACATACTATCCGAGCCAGGCCGGTATCGACCCCCCCGCCACCGTCTGCAAAGAATACTATGCGCACATCCTCGGTCATCAAAACTCACAAGTTTTCAAATCCTTTGCAACAAATGTGACGACATGCGCACGCGCGCGTCGTCGCGCGCGCATGCCAGAATCCTTCAAAAAGCATCGGTTTCGGAAGGATGTCCAAATCGAGTGTCCAAGGAACATACACAAACACAAGGTTTCGCAACACGGATTTTCAACAAAAGCGTGAACGCGCGCTCTTGCGTCGTCAGCGTCGTCGCCGTCCTCCCTCCTCCCTCGTCGTCGACGTCGTCGCCGTCGACGCCCTCTGTCTTGCCTCGTCGTCGTCGTCGTCGTCGTCGTCGTCGTCCTCTTTGGCGTCGTCATCGTTTCCGTCGTCGTTGTCGCCGTGGTCGTCCTCCCTCCTTTCTTGTCGTCGTCGTCGTCCGTCGTCGGCGTCTCGTCGTCGTCCCTCCTATTTCGTCGCCGTCGTCGTCGTCGTCGTCGTCGTCGTCGTGTTCCCTCCTCCCTCGTCGTCGTCGTCGTCGGCGTCGCCATCCTCCCTCCTTCTTCGTCGTTCGCGTCGTCGCCGTCCTCCCTCCTCCCTCGTCGTCGTCGACGTTGTCACCGTCGTCGTCCTCCCTCTTCCCTCGTCGTCGTCTTCGTCGTCGTCGCCGGCGTCGTCGTCGTCGTCGGCGTCGTCGTCGTCGGCGTCGTCGTCGTCGGCGTTGTGATCGTCGTCGTCGTCGTCGTCGTCGGCGTCGTCGTCGTCGTCGTCGTCGGTGTCGTCGTCGTCGTCGTCGTCGTCGCCAAAGTCGTTGGAGACGTCGTCGGTGTCGTCGTAATCGGTGTCTGCGGCGTCGTCGTCGTCGTTGTCGCTGTCGTCGTCGGCGTCGCTGTCGTTGCCAAGTGCCATTTGGTACCCACCGTCACGGTCTCAAGAGATTTTGCAAACCAAGTTGCGGGTGGGTGGGTGGGATGTTTGCGCGAGCAGTGGAGGTGGTCAAGCGCGGTGCAGGGTAGTCAGTTCTCCTTTCTAGAAAGAGAACAGACTCTACCCCCCCCCCTCGGCGTTCGCCGCCCCCCTTTCGGGTATGTAAATCAAATCTGATTATGACCACATGTCCTTCCTAAATATGAATGTACACTATCCCAGAGGGGCCGGGATCGGCCCCCCTGAGGTTCCCTTGCAAAAGACGATACGCGGGGACATCTTTTGTTCTAAAATAAGACTTGG